CCTGCTCACATGGTATCAGAGCCGGGGTACACTTACCCTAGCTAAAAAAAATATATTATTATTATGTCGAAGAATCCTGGCAACAAGGATTCAATGTCCTCTTCAGTAACGTTAGAAAACAGAAGTGAGGAAATGTCAGCCATGGGAATGAATGGACTTAACAACTTGTTCTTCCAACTCACTATGGAGATGTTGGATGGGAAGAACTTCCGAGAATGGGCCTAATCAATCAAATTCGTGATTGACGGCAAAGGGAAAATGGGGTACCTGACCGGAGAATTGAAGAAGCCTGCCTCAACCGAAATTGTTGCCTTGCAAAAGTGGAAGTCATAAAATTCAATGGTGACTGCATGGCTGATTAATTCCATGAAGCCATTTATCGGAAAGACCTACATGTTTCTGTCGACAGCGAAGGATGTGTGGGATGTTGTTTGGGAAACCTACTCCGATACTGAAGATTTTTCTCAGATCTTCCAGATAAAAACCCGTCTTTGGCAGATGAAGCAAGGAGAAAGAAATGTGACTGATTATTTCATAATGATGACAACCTTACGGCAAGAACTCGATATGAGTTTTGAAGAAGAGTGGGAATGCCCCAATGATAGTGTACGGTACAAGAGGAAACTTGAGAGTGAAAGGGTTTTTGAATTCCTTGAAGGGCTCAACCGAGATTTAGATGATGTCAGAGGGAGAATTCTTAGTCGGCGTCCCCTGCCATCAACAAGGGAGGTATTTGCTGAGGTGAGAAGAAAGGAAAGTCTGCGGAAGGTGATGCTGAAGAAGACCATGTCTGAATCTGCTAAAGCATCAGCGTTGGTAACTCGTGGGTCATCATCTGAATCCAGCCTAAATTAGAAGAAGGGGCGGCCTTGGTGTGAGCATTGCCGCAAGCCTGGTCACACGAAGGAGACCTACTGGGACATACACGGGAAGCCAAGTGACTGGAAGCACTGACAAAATAACAAGAGCCGAGGACACCAAGTCACGGCTGAGGAAAAAGGAGGTGGTAATGAAGTTGCAACAGGCAGTGGTTCTAACTCAGAGCAAATGGAGCAGCTTTACAAAATCTTCTCTTGTTTCCAAACTGGCCAGTCTTCGTCCAATGTTCCTACTGCCTCTTTAGCCCACAAAGGTAATTTTTTGAGTGCCCTAAACACCAATTCTCGAGTCAAAACCCCATGGATCTTTGACTCTGGTGCCTCTGATCATATGACTGATTCTTATAACCTGTTCGCATCATATTCACCTTGTGCTGGCAATATTATAGTTAAAATTGCAGATGGTTCACTTTCATCAGTTATGGGAAAAGGGAGTATTAGGATTTCAGACTCTAATCTTAGAGTCGGT